GAATTATGCGAGAGCCAGAATGCAAACAAATGTGCACAGAGTTCATGAGTTCAGTCAAGGACAGGATGCTAGATGGGAAAATTTAACAGGGTTCCCCTAAATCAAACATGCATACAAACGTCATGCTTTCTGAGCATTTCACAATGTAAGCACACCAAATCATCCTGGAGAGCAGCCTCATGTTAACAAATTATGAAAGCTTCATTTTCCCTGTAAGGGGAAATATCTACAAATGAAGCAAAATTTATTAAAATGGTAAAATATGCTGTCAACTTGCAAACAATTACCTACTTAAGCTTTTCATTAAAAAAAAATAATAATTGTTACCCAAAAGAATTCTAAAAGTCAGTAACTGAGGGAGGAAGACAATTGTTAGCATTAGCTGCCTCTCTAATAATATGTGACAACCCGGAAGGATTCTATTTCAAACACAATAATAATGATTACAACTCCCCCTGTAAACAAGTCACATTTTTTCACAACTTCAAAATGTACTTTGATTATCATATCATTTACCAATAAAACAACAGAAGTTGCCTTCCACAGTTTTAAGGATTCCACCAGGCTAAAACGGAAACTCTTCTTCATGAGAGCCATGAGGTTCCGGGCCTCTCTCTAGCACTCCAAAACATGTCTAACAGGAGTGCAAAGTACAGTTCAAAAATCAGTCAGCCTGAGTTGAAACTCGAATCTGGTAAATTCATGACAACAGTTACTCTCTCTTGAGATCTCGAAACTTCTTAGTGTGTTATGACCTCTCTCTTTCTTCAAAGCTCTTCCCTCAGAGAAAGCCCAGCCTACCTAGCCCACCCCACCCTGCCTTTTTCCCCTTCAGACAGGACACAGCGTGACCACTCAAGGCTTCCATAGGCCAGACTTCCTTCTGTGCAGCCTGCTAATCCTTCTTATTAATTAATGAGATAACGATGGTTAACTGGAAACCAATGTTCATGCAAACTATCTAGGAAACGTCAACCAAAATTATTTAGGCCTTTTTGTTGGTCCTCCTGATGTCGTTTCCTCATGAAGGTTCTCTCATTTTTTTTTTTTTTTTTAGCATTTACACTGTTACACATTACTAACTAGGAAAAAAAAAATGTCCTCTCAATGGCTTACTGTAACATTTGGAAGTGTAGAAACTGAAGGGACTAGAAATTGCCTAAGAAATAAGCAGTGATGTGACTGAAAGCCACAGTCAGTTCTGGCAAGTGCATTCCATGTCACTGCAGCCAGCTAGCCCTCCACACCCTTCCCAGAGCACACGGGGCGTCCTACAGGACACTTCTCTCCCGAGAAGGGGTACTGTGCAAGGCCTGCCTGATTTTTGTTTTTTGGGGTTTTTTTTTTGTTTTTTTGCTTTGCTTTCAAGAAGGCAATAACAAAGACAATATGGGGAATAGGTACCACCTGCCCAAGAATCATTGGACATCTTTAATATCTTGGGGAAAATGGAGGGCACTTTAGAGCTGTTTTTTCCTTTCATCTGTCATCATCTTAAAAACAAAAAAAGGAAACCTAAAAAAATAAAAATAAAGGGAAGGGTTTTCTATCAGCTAAGGTTTGCTGCAGCAAACAAGCAAGCAGCTTTCATTCAGGGATTCTCAAAAACTTTCCAGTGCGCCCACTGCAATGCGGATGCCAACCAACGAATCAAAGGCATTCAGCAACTAGACAAAGAGGGTCTGATGCCAACCTCGGTGCCACTGGCAACCGTTATTGGCATCCAGCACAGTGTCTGCCTTTTTTTTCCCCTCGCCTGGCACTTCACAAACAAAATGGCGGTTCTTGTAGCAACGAAACAACCGAAGCGCAGCCCTCTGAATCAATACCGTCAAATGATTTTATGGATTTAAATGCAGGGACTCCCACATGATGTGTGTATTTTAGGTAAAGTGGGGGTAGCATCATTTAATAAATGACTATATTGAATATGACTCTTTCCTAAACATAGAGCAATAGAAAAATGGACTAAATTGCGGTCAACCAGACTCTAGGCACAGGAGAGGCTGAATAACAAAGAGATTTCGCTTTAAAGGAAATCCTGCCTGGCGGCCATGGGATGCAAAAGTCTAATGAACTATATATCAGAAATGATTTCAAAATGCATACATTCTCCCCAAAACTGTATCAGATGCAGATGTAGCACTATAGCTTGTGTCAAAGCTCTAGTAACTCTTTCCACATTTCAAAAAAGAAAGATGAGGCTGAGGCTGCTGGGCATGAAAAAAAAAAAATAAATAAAAGTGTGGGTTGAACCAAAAGAGAAAGAGGGAAAAAGCATAGGAAGTTGGTCAACAATGAACTTTATTATTTGCTGGTCTTTATTTCATTCTCCAGAAGATATGCAGTTTGTGATCTTGTATAAATAACCAAGAGGACTATTGACATTTCTAGATCTGGAAATTGTCAATATATTGTAACATCACTCCACACTGCAATGCGGATGCCAACTAACAAATCACAGGCATCCTGAGCTAAACAAAGAGGGTCCGATGCCAATCCTGGTGCCAGTGGCAACCATCTTTGGCATTCTCTGTTCTTTCTCATGTTTTCCTACCAGTCATTTAGAAGTGGGGAAAGAAAGAAAAAAGGGGGGAAAGGTAATTCTTGTTGCTCATTCTGTTGCAAACATTACACTTTTCTTTTCTGATTTTTCTCTTGCGTTTTTCTTTATAATCTTTACCTGATTAATAAAATATACTTAAGTGGGTTTTCATGCACTTCGAGGACAAATAAAAAGTCACGATGGGAGATATGTAGCTCTCTGATTGACTACAGATTAGTCTTTTAAAATCCCCACTTCAACCAACTGCACTGCAAAAATACATAATTAACCTACATTTGACCAAAGGAAAAATACGTAAATTTTGAAAAAGGGAAAACACAAAAGCATCTTGATGTGACTTTTTCAAAGAAAGCGCCATCAGATATTATAAAGATATGATGCATTCACAAGTACAGAAGATATAAATTAGGTGCACAGTGTAAGATCATGAAAGGTTTCAAAACGAGACTCTAAACAACAACAAAATGAATTTTTTATCTGAAAATGTGGTCTCCAAGAGTTGCTTAAAACTTTATGACTATCATGACCGATGGTGCAATGCAGAAGGCATTTATGCATTTTTCTTTCTTCAATCTATCTTCCCAAATCCAAAGTATATGTTCTTTATTGTCAGTTCATCAACTAAGACAGTTGGCTGCCTGCCCCAGGAGTGAATGTACATGTGTGCACACCTCAAGGAATAGCCTTCAAGCAAGTTAAAATGCAAGCAGCAGTGAAGTGCTTGCAAATCTTCTCTCCTGCACTAAAAAGTTACATAACCCACTTTCTAAAACTTTACTTCCAGTCTTGACTTTCATGACAGAGTTACAACACATTTACAGTCAATCCAGCACATATATACAGCCCACCTTATAATGTCACCTCCTAGACAGCTGTCAATCAAATTAAGTGTCATGTGCTAATGAGTTTTTATTTTAGGACACACAGGGAAAAAATACATTTTTCCCCAAACTGTCATTACTTCAACTTTAACTTTTAAACCTATAGAAATAATATATGCAATCTTTTATTTATAAAAAGAATATTTCCAAATGTATGCTCTCAAGCACCATTATTTATAATCAAACTAGAAATGTTTAGATAACTTTTAAGCATATCTCTAAAACTATACCAAGTAAATATAAAGAAAAAAACACATAGTAATACCCAGATTTCTGAGTCAAAAGAGTAATTCTGATATTTTATATTTCGGGATGCTGAAGTTCATACAATTGACTATATCCCACACTTATATAACAAACATCAGATAACCATCTGCCACCTGGCTATCTGCAGGCCACTTTCCCTACCACCTGGCCAAGTTAAGAAATGACCCACCAACTACGGTAGATTAAACTACAGGCCACTTTCAGTAGGTTTTTTTTTTAATGTTTTACTATGGACTATTGCTAATACAAGCACACCAATATATATCGATAAATTCATTTGAAGTAAAGAAATTCTCACCTCCTTAAAGAAAATATATTAAGAAAAATAAAAATAATAAACATATTTCATGAACCCAGAAAACACTCAGCAAAAAATATCACCTATTTTTAAATTATTCAGGCAACATTCACCCCACTCTCTTTATCAAGGATTTTTTTTTAAATAGGTATGGTATGCGGTTTCTGCATTCTTTTTGAGATTTATTTTAAACCAGCGTAACCAGTCTACTTTCTGTTTTTGTTCTCTAAGGAGAGCTGCGACTTCTCTCCTTGGTAAGTTTCATGAATTTACATTCAAGTAAACGGACAGTATTAAGTGTTCCCAAGTCACTCTGGGAGAATATTAGAACATGAATTATTTAAACAAGAACCATAATCCGTTTAATCTACAGCGAATATTACACAATCAAATGTAGGTGTTGATAGAAATATTTAAATTAAATAAATCTAAGTCTACGTAAGATATACCTTCTGATACTGGCCATCTTAAGCATTCTGTAATAGGAAATGTTCATGCTGTTTCTCAGTGCAGTAGCACTGGATTCATTAACAAAGTTCATCCACCTCGTTAGTCAGGAAGCTAATACAAAGACTGTTAAAGAACAGTTTGACTATTCATAAATCAAGTTACATTTTCAAACTGGCAAAAGATGACTAGATGTAAAGAATGTCGCCGAGGACAAAGAGCCAAGTGTAATCAACTATAGTTTTCAGATTATTCTGTGTCTTTGAAAAAGTGTATTATTTCAAAGACATTTGAAAACGCATCTCTTTGTGGTCTTTAAATATCCACGCCTATCCAGGTAGGAAAGCTCCATGTGTATTTCCATGGCTTGCACATGGCCGTGGACAAGCGAGAGGAGGAGAAGGGGCATGCCGCTCTCCCCAGATCAGGTGAACAAGAGACCTAGGGGCCTCCAGGACCATCTAACCCAAGCCAGGTGCTCTGTGCATGGGGTCTGCGGGCAATGTGTGCCGGGCTAGAAGAAAGAACAATCTGCTCCTACCTTGCTCCTGCACGTAGTATGCCAAAAACAAATCAAGCTCCTTAACTGATACTGTGATATGATGTGGCTGGACACAAAGTGCTGGGTTTGTGCAATGTGGGGATTTCATGAGCCGCTCTCCATCGGTACTTTCCAAGGGGATGCCTTTGAACAGGATCACCATGACTAGATCCAGACGCCAGACTTTGTCTGCCTGTCGCAGGCAGTCGATTCTCCTAATCTTACCCTTCTGGTCAGGATTGGATAAGACACAGCACGGATGCTTCTTGCCAGTCACGGTGAGCACAAAGTCCTCTCGGTACTCCTGGCGGATATCTTTGCGCAGTTTGGCCAGGAGCCTGGATGCCCACTTCTGTTTGATTTCAGGCTTTTCGCTGAGAAGCTCATCTTTGACTGCTCTTTCTTCATCCTTTGACATTCGCTTCTCGTGCTTTTTAAAGTACTTGCGTTTCCGAGCCTGCAGGTTGAACCAAGTATAGGCGATTGCACGGACGTGTGGAAGTAGTGCCTCGATGAATGGGTGAAATTCATCCTGTGGTAGATGAGGGGGAAAAACAAGACATACAGGGTCAGTTTTGTTTGTTAAAGGCTCCAAACCATCAGACCACAACCCATTCCCAATTCAGTACTAAAAGTTACACATAAAAATAACATTCTTTTCTTATTTAAAATTATCAAAATAGCAGGACCAGAAGAAAATAAAGTATGCCAAGCTGCCCCTTTTCCACTAAGACTCACAGGTTGATTCTCCCTCCTAAGGAAAAAAAAAAAAAAAAAGAATAAAGATTCATGTTTGTATTTCCACTCTGGCCCCATCCCCCTCATTCCCACCATGCATCCTATATTCTTTAAAATGTAAGCAACCAAGGTGCTTGGCACCTAATTCAATATTTAAATATTTGATTGACCAACTAACGCTGAGCAGTACCATTTTACAAAGAACACAGTGAGTTTTTTTTTTTTTTAATCGGAGCAGAGCTGTTCAGAAGGCAGGAGCGATGGCACAGTTCATTTCTCTTCTCGGTGGTACAGAAACACAAAGCATATAGATGCTGGTGTAATGCCACACAGTTCCCGCTTTTGGAGCATGCTCTCAGCAAGAGGCTGCTGGTGGCACAGAGAGCATGCGCCATTAAACTTGATCCATTTTCTTATCAAACGTCCAACATTCCAACACTGAAACAGCACCATTCCAGGAGTGGTAACTAGAGAAACTGGTATACGGTGAGGGAAAGTGGGCAAAGGACACAGCTTGTCAGATCGGTGTCCTGAACAGAAGGTTTCCATACTTGGAGCAGCACATTCCCTCCCTCCACCAGCAACACTAGCCCCCAACACACACACACACACACACACAAATATACACGCATGCACGCTCTTACTCTCTCACAGATCCACAGACCCGCTCTTGCATTTTTAAATAAAAGTTTCTAAAGTTGAAAACAGAATTGACTCCGATGTTCTTCCAGCAGCTCTTCCTATAGAGTCTGAAGCCCCACTCAGTCAGTTAATTTGTTAACCGATCACATGAGTATGGCAATTATTCTAAAACCCTTAAAAATCAATCTGAGGTGAACAATGAAAAATGGCAACTTGGCACCAACTTTACATTCTTTGTGTCTCTATATGCGGTGGCAGGGTGACACCAGGAGTGCACCGCTGGTCACTCCCTGCTTTTGTGGAATCAATACAATTCATTTGCTACACGTCTGAATTCTCGGACAGGGCTGTGGGTGCACATATGCATGGGCTTGTGAATCTGCACGTGGAGAGATCCCATCTAGTGAATTAAGTGGTTTTACCTTAGGCTCCTGTGTCTTTCCTGCCTGTTTCATCTAAGCCTTTTGTAAGGCAGAGAGGCAGCTAGGAGTGGCAGATAATCTGCACCTACAGTTATTTCAAACTACTTCCCAAAGCGGTCAGTGTTTCATTACTTCCTGCCGTAGGTAAAACCTGTCTCCTAAGCTCAGGCCTGTTACTGTTCCGAGAAAGAGCTTAACATCCAGGGTGTGCACACTACGTGGGCAATGAGGCCAGATCTGAAACAAATGAGAACTTCCACCACGGCCACTTTTCTGGTCACTGTATCGTCACCTCAACCACAAAATAACTTTCTCTAACTACTTATATCCCAAGTTAGAATTGACAGCCTAGTACTGGTCACCCTGAACTATATGCAATAAATTCTATCTAATCAGCAGTCTGATGAATTCCATCAGGTAAAAATGATGAAAGTATCATGAATGACTCTCTAACAAAGAAGATGCCCCCAAACTCCCATAGAGTTACAAATTCATTTTCAAGATCATATTCAGTTTCAATGCTAAAGACTGCGGCATGTTCGCAGTCTACAGTTCGGATCCGGAAGAGGTATACATCCCATCCGATCAATAATGCAATTTTCAAGTGTTTTAACATGTTGCCGTGAAATGTTCCGAGAGCAGAATCAGTCTAAATCAAAATTTTATAACAATACAGAATGTAGATGATTACATCACAGCATGAGGCATAACCAAATGCCATAGAGGAAATCATTAAACCGATCAGTAGTTTCCAGCAGAGACTTGAACAATTCAGTTACTATGCGAGCACATTAAACTAGGCCATGGAAAGAGTTAAACCACAATCTGTTCTTTGTGTGGGAAGGCAGCCCTGCTCACAGCAACCACAGCCCATGATAAGACCTCCCTATCTCCATACACTTTCTGATGCCATGCTTTCAGCGTTCACTGTAACTACAAAAACTTTGTTTATCTCCCTTAGAAATATATGCAAGAGGAAACCCTGCTCGAGGAAATGTGGACTCAGGCTTTGGGAACTCACTTCCTATAATCTAACTTCTCCTATGATTTATTGATATGATTTAAAAACCTACATATATATACTTACAAACTAAAACCTTGAAATCGTAAAGAGTACATGCGGGTGGGAAGAGCTTTGTCTCACTCACTTTACCCTTGCAGTATTATTTTATTTATCTTATTTAAAAATGCAGTATTATTTTAACAGATATTAAGCAATGTGGTAACTCTGAAGTACTTTTATCCTTAAGTACTATGTTCAGTAACATTTCATTTTCTTATAAAGACTTCAAACATAACTTTGATTACATATGTTTGAGTTTCTAATCATCTATCATGTAATAGATTTCAAAATTTTAACAACTTATTTTAAACAATCAAAATGCAACACTGAGGGCTTAAATTTGGAATTTCTTAGCAAATGCACACAAAACACTGCTTTTTTAAGGTTGCCTTTAGCTTGTTGCCAATGCTGCCAAGTAATGTTTAAAACATAGTTTTTTCTTTTGATAAATAGTTCTGCAGCAAACTTTCTGAGTCCATAGTCGCCTTACAAATATCTTTCAGGGCTTTACTATTATGCGAATTCCTTTCAAGTAAAACACTTACTTCTGACATGAAGATATCCTCAAAAAATGGTAAGTAGAGTTTTTCAATAAGTCACATGTATTTTTGTATTAACATGACTAAAGTACCATCTCCCAAGTATGATTGTTTTTTAATGCTGAGTTGTAATATATCTGTTGTGATTTTGAATGGCATGTATATGAAGCATAGTAACTTGTCTTCATCAAAAAAATGATTAAGGTCCTAATTAATAGGTTACCACAATAACACTATAAACACTATAAACAACTATGAAAATTATTTTTTAAGAAAGCAAAGCATTTAAGTAAGCTAATATCTAACGTCTCTATGCTAAGGTAATAGGCCACCTTGCTCTTTCAGAATTTTTATTAAAACACATTGGCATTCAGTAATTCTTTCTCTTTTCAAATTTCCTTTATTGAACTAAACTGATAAAATAAATAACCTAGTTACAAATTTCAAATATAAAAGTAAATAGTCCTAATTCCACTGGAAATATTTATTTTTCTTCACAGGAACAGTGGTCTCCATGAAAGGGATGGAAAATTAGACCAGTATAGAGGTAGAAGAGTAAATACTAGATGTTCTTGGAGCACTGCTATTTAACAATAAACCATTTTTATAAATGTACCTTCAGAACCTGAAAAATAGTGAAAGAAAAAAAATTCAATACAATCATTCCAAGTGAAAGTTACATTAAGGGTTTACATTATTTTTAGCAAAAGCAAATACAAAATCCTATATGATGCTTAATTTTCTTTTTACATCTGATTTATACTGATGTTAAAATACAGGTTTATATCCATGTACTGATAATTCTGAATAACACTTTGATAAATATCAACTATAGCCTCTTTTGAAACTTCTTTCTAAAGCCTAGATATCTTATTGCAACAACGAAAGCACTTTGCAAAGTTTTCAATCAATTAAGAATGTTTCTCTATTTTGTATTTACATAATCCTGAAAAATGTTTTGCTACAGCTATTAAGTTCCTGTAATACAAAACTAAACTATTGGTCTGATATCAAAGCAACATTGTTAAGATTACTTCTGCAACACCTTACACTAGCTATAAAGTCACACAGATACTAAAGGGAGAATTCTAAAGCTAAAATTTTTTCTTCTAGTCTAGGCCTTAAATCCCCAAAACAGTTTCAATATGTCAACCTAGATTTACATTATTAAAACAGTAGAGAATATCAGTCATCATGAATTAGTGTTGGTAAGTATGTATCCTTGAATACTAATGGGATAGTTGAATGACTATATTGTATATGCTCCTAATATTCCATATGTCACGATGCTACAAATATTATTTTTAACTTACACAAATTTAGATAAAGCTAGTGACTTTTTGATTCATATCTAGAGGAAACCAAAAATGCAATGTAATTGCTCATAATGATTCTTAAAATTCGATGCTGGAAATATGAACCAATACAGAAAAACAATCATTTACAGGTGAGAGCAAAAGTGCAGCACTTTGCACCTGAAAAGCTTACCTCAATTTGTTTTATTTGAACTACGCCTCAATGTAAAAATAATATCAAATGGATGTGGTTTACCAGAAAGAGGAAAAAATCCTGCTGATGGGTAATATGAAAGGTAACTTTTGCAACTGAAAGCAATTCGTTATACCTGAAACAGTTTCATCACCATATTTATTGGCCATTATTCACAGCCTTAAAAATACAAATAGGTCAGCAACTCATTTTTTCCAGTTTTGTCAAATTAAAGTGCACGTTTATTTGCTGAAAATAGCCATATCTAAGTTAATCATACTCAGATGCCAAACAAAATATAAACAATAAAAAATGTGTCAGCCAAAAAGCTACAGGACTGTATCCAATCACTGAATAAGCCTTATCATTGTTTTCATCTTCATTCACAATTTATGAATGCCTCAGTCCTTTTGAATCACAATGGCTTCTAATTGTCATACAATTGAAATCTTAATCATTTGTCCATTACAAAAATGCATCATCATGATACTGGATTTTTTAAAACTTGTAACACACCTAAGACTAGGGGACACTTCTTAAACTGTTTATAGTTTTTAAGCCATTGTCAAAGAAAATGGTTATCAATTACTAATCGTGACATAGCCTCCTAAAAGCTTCAGTCAACTATCCCACACATTTAGAGGTTTAAAAAACTGCTTCAAATAACAACTCTAGGCTAAGATATTTAGTTAGTTCGTCTGTTGCTTAGTTAGCCGGGCAGCGATGAAAGCCGTCCCCAGGTAAGTCTGTTCGGTCTCTCCACTTTTCCATTTGACCGACCGGTTTAAAATTATATAAATTGTGTTCTTGTAAAAGTATAAAGCCAGTATTTTATTTCATAACACTGTACCTGAAATCTTAGGACAAATTTCAAAGTGAATTTTTGAAAATGACCTCACTTTTCCAGCACTACTTTCTAACCTACGCCCCAATATCGTCAGTGAACAGGTCTCCACAAAATGAACATGTTTTAAAAGTCCTTTAACTTTCATCCCGACCGACTAACTCGAGTCCACGTCTAGATCGCCTTTGTGGCGTGGTCACTAGAAACCTCAAAGTGCGGATCGCGATGCACTAGAGTTTCAGATCCCCAATTTAAGCAAAGGAATGGGTCCCCGGACCACAACCTTCGACTCGCTTGTCTCCCGCCCACTGCCTGCAGCGGAGTCCAGAGGCGCCCACAAGGACTCCTACTGGAGTCCCCTCGCCCAAGTTCACTGCTTGTTTATTAAGGCTCAGTCCCCCCCGCCCCCCAAAGCTCCTCTAAAGCCGGAGTCCACCTCGGCGCGCAAGCAACCAAAAGAGGCAGCAGGCACCCTGGGCAGGGGCGCAGCAAGCACTCCAGGGGCCGCACGGGAGCTAGCTCTCGCGGGCCCGGGCCCTGCCCATCCCTGGCGGCCTCGCCCGGCCCAGCCGCCCTGGCAGCACGCGGGCACCCGCTCTCCGTGCCCAGGGCGCCGGGCTGGGCGCGCACGGTGACTGTGAGCTAGGGGCCGCGCGCCGGCTCTGATGCCACCCTGCAAACCCCGCCGCAACTCCGGACCACTTCTTCTGCTGGGTTACACCGGTGTGCGGAGGTTAACTAGAACCATTAGTTGTCCGCGGACGAGAGCAACAAAACAAAGGCATTTCGGGCTAAAGAGAAAGCTCGAGAGAGCGACTGAGACATGTACCTGAGTGAGACAGATGGGAGAATACATCATGACTTCGCCTTAAAACGCACTTTCCCGGAGATGCCCAAGAAAATCTTCGAGAAGCAAGAATTTCATCTATTCATTTTACAGTCATCTGAGCCCCGCGATGCGATCAATCAGGACAGGGCTCTGCGCTGGATCACCGCAACTTCACAACAAACCCAGTCCTCCTTAAATAGCCAAAGATTCAAGTTCACTCGGCGTGCTAGATTTCCCGGGGTGAAATCCAATCTACACTTTTAACCCTCCTGCAGTCCGAGCGCGCTGGCCGTGCTCGCCGAGGCCGCCGCCGCCGCCGCCGGTGCTGGCTGCTTTTCGCCTGGGTTTGGGGATTTGTTTTCTGTTTTGCAGTTGTTGTTGTTGTTGTTGTTGGGGGCTAGGGGGTGCGCGAAGGTTCGATGTGGGTCGGATTGGGGTGGTGGTTGGTGGTGAAATGCTTTTTTAAAAAAGGCGGGGAGGGGGGCGCAGGAGAGAGGGCGGGAGGGAGAGCGAGGAGAATGTGTCACCGCGCTGGGAAAGTTCAAGGTTACAGCCCCAAGCACTGCGGCAGGATCCCGGAGTGGCGATCGCAGGCGAAACTTTGCCGCGAGCCGACCATGTGTGTGCGCGAGGGGGGAGCGTGAGCGAGTGCGCGCGGGTGGCGGGGCGCGCGCGGGAGAGGGCCGGGGTGGGGGCGGGGTGGGTGGGGGAGCCGGCAGAGGCCGGGGTGAGGGAGGGGGCGCGAGCGCAGGTCTCCCGGGCGGAAGAGGTTCGCGGCGCGCGGTCCCCGGCTGCAGCCGCCGCCGCCCGCGCCGACTCCTCCACGCCCGGCTGCCCGCCCGCCGCCCGCCTCGCCCCGCGTCTGACCCGGCCGAGCGAGGAGGCTGCTGCTGCTGCCGCGGCTGCCCAGAGCCCTGGGGTATCGGAACGCGCTCCTGAAAAATCCCAAACGACAAATCCCGCTCTCCCGCTCGGCTCCAAACTCCTCTCTTTTCTGCTCTGGGCTCTTTTTTTCCCCTCCCTCTCTCGCTTTCTTTCGTTGCAAAACTTGGAAGTTGAAAAATTCACCGGTTCCACCCTCTGGACCCCGCTCGAGCTCTCTCCAAATCAGACTTAAGGATTGTTTTATTATTTAATTACACAATCATCGCTTTACTCCTCCTCCTGCAAACGCGCATTCCTTTTGCACCAGCCTCTCCACACCCCCCGCCCCCCACCTTCCTCCTCCTCCTCTTGCTTCTCTCCCTCTCTCTCTCACTCATTTGTTAAAGCTCTCATACGACTGCAATAGAACCACAACTTTTTTTTTTTTAATTTTAAATAGATGATCATTCCGCCCTTTGGGCAAGTCCCGCGCCCTTCCCCCAACACGTACACACCCCGAAAACCCGCCCTGGAAAGAGGTATTTCGGTGCTCGCTGCGGACTCTTTAAGCCGCGGGAACCTCCGAGTGAAAGAAACCCTGAGCCGAACTGGGCCCGAGAAAGGAACGAATGGAAAATTCCCTCACACCCAGGCTGCCCCGGGGCCCAGACTGGGGCGCCGACTCTCGCACCCGGGGCGGGCGCGGTCCGCCGATTCCGCCGGCTGAAAGGAGGAGGGGGAGACGGCGGGGGGATGGCTGAACGAACTTGGACTTAAGATAGTTGGGGCACGCCGGCGCGGGTGGGAACGGGGCCCATCCGGGGTCTCCCAAGCACGGGCCCGCATCCCGGGGCAGCTCCGCACAAGCGGCGCGCCTCGCCGCGGTTTGCCGCCCTCCCTTGGGGGTGCCCGGTGCACGTGGCCTCGCTCGGAGCGGGAGGATCGGGCTGCGCCGCCGCCTCCAGCGCCCTCCTCCTAGTCCTCCTCCTCCCGCGGCTCCTCTGGCTCGCTCCCAATCCCCACCCCTCCCCGGGGCCCGGGGCGCCGGCGGAAAGCGGCTCCCGCGCCGCCGGGGTGCAGGCAGGGCGGGGCCGCAGCGCGCCTGGGGCTGCGGGGCGGGCGGGCGCGCGCGCGAGCCGGGTGCGTGTGTCTCTGGAGCCCTGCAGAGGCCGCCGCGCCCGCCTCGCTCCCGCGCGAGGCCCCGCCCCCACCCCGCCGCGAGCCGCGGGCCCCGAGTGAATGAACTTGATTTCGGAGATGTGGAGGCCGGCGCTTTGCCTCGCACTTTCTGCGCGCGCGCGCGCGCACACACACACACACATACAAACACATACACACACACACACACACCCCGCCCCCCAAATTCCGGTTTTCGGCCAGGGGTGGGTGAGGAAGAGGTGGAAGCAAAGACTGTGCAGACAATGGAGAGAGGAAAAGTGAGTGCCAGGGGCTACGCGTCTACCTAGCTCGGGGCCCCCGAAGGGGACTCGAAGGCCCCAGCCCGGGGGCGGGGCCGCCCCCACTTCCAGCTGTGCTCTGGAGCTGTTTGGAGGTTCTCCTCTGATTCCCCTTTCCTCTCTTTCTCGCTTGCCTCCTCTCGATTTTTTCCCCGCAACTTTCTCTGTCTCGTTTTCTCCGCTCTTGCCACCCCTTCTTTACGCCGCCCCCCCCCCCACCAGCGGACTTGAAGGAACTAGTGACTTTTTCCTGCTCCGAGTGGGAGTTATCCACATCAAGCATTTCACAACGACACATCAAGAAAAGTAGGCAGGTTCAAGTCAACCATGAAATGGTCACTTTTTAACCCCGTCCTGTCCTCATTAGGGAAATGCTCAAACACAGTCCGTTTTCAAAGAGCGCTCTTAATGAGGCGAGCCTGCCAAGTCCACCAGCTGCAGCCCCCGTAAACCAAGAGCCTAAAGAAGAAAGGCGGTGGGGAAGGAGGGGGAGTCGAGGAGGCCAGGGGTGGAGGGGGGAGCTTTGGTTCTGGGAAGACAGGTAAAGTCGGGGAAATTTAGAGAACCCACCCCCGCCCCCGAAGTTAACCCTTTAGGGCACACCCCACTGGGAGCGGCCTCCCTGCTCCTCTGGAGGCAAATCCCTAGTCCGGGTTCTGACAACGTTAATTTCTTTTGTGTGGGTCATTTCTTCTTTTTGAAGAGCCAGAATAAAGTTGACAGTCTTTAGCGATGAAAGAAATGAAGTGACAGCCCGGGTTAATCCGAATAAATATTAATTTCTCTCAGAAATGTTTAGGCAGTCTCATCCTAGATTTAAAAAAAGAAAAAAGCCCCAAACATCAGTTTGTATTGCACATTCTGCTGCATCCCTTTTCTCACCCTTTTACCAGGTCTGGGCGGTGGGGGGGGGGGGGGGTGCGGGGAAGCACTACTGATAATACCAGCTTTAACTACTGGAGTTTCCCTTTGAACAAATATTCAATTTAACCGGGGTTAATTTACCATAAAAGACATTCCCGTTGGCACGAATGCTCTCCTGTCCTTGAACACACCTCTTTGAATGCCTGGACTCACAGAAGCCATTATTTCAGGGTCTCTTTAAAAATCGAGCGCCCATCTCTCTTTCTCTCCCTCCCTCCCTTCTTCCCTCCCTCCTCACCACGCCACCCCCAGTGAAATCTTGGCACCCTGCAAGTGCTCCGTTTCAGCCAGAGATCCCAGAACCAGCCGCTGTCCCCTGGCAGAAGGGGCCCAGTGCTGAGGCCTGGGCAAGTGTCTGTAGACTTCGCCACCCCTCTTCCCTTCCTAGTTTCCCTTACCAACACAAATCCTTTCCTTTTGCCACCCAGACTAGGTCGCCTCCAAAAGTTTCTCACGAGCTTAGAAAAGAAGAAAGAAAGACAACTCTTAACACAGAAGAGCCCACAAAAGCTACAGCAGCATCAGGGGTGATGAAGCAGCGACAGACCCAGGTAAGACCCCCGAGACCTAAAGATGTCTGGGGCCTCTCAGGCCTACCACTGAGGGGTTCAAACCTCTCCCTGTCTGCAGGGTACTTATGGATGAGCATGGAGGATACTTGGTGGTGGGGCGTTTGATTTCTTTCCAAGAAAAAGGAAAACAAGAAAGGAGGGGGAAACTCAAAGGGAGGGAAAAATGAGCAACAGAGACATCGGGTGCTCAGTATGGGGTGCTCAGTGGATATGGCTTTGACTGTCTTCTTAGGCCTTGGAACCATGGGTGAAATGGCTGACATCCCCCCATCCTCACCCTCCCCAGAACTCTGCTTCTGGTGCAGCCAATATCAGGCTCACTGCAAGTCTTCTCAAGATGAACTCTAAGAGGGCCTTTTGTAAAGAGGGACTGGGGTGGGTGTAGAGCACGACTTCTCTCAGCAGGACACTTCACCGTCTGTGGTTTCAGAAACGCCCATCTTTCAAACACCAGGTAGAAAAAAAAGAGGAGGAAGTGAGAAAGCACATATAGTATTTTAGCCACTTTCCCTTTTACCCAGCATTTCTGGTCCATGGCATTGAGAGTGGTTTGAAAGTATCTCTGAAAAGCTTCTGATGCTATCAAAGTGGGCCAAACACTTTTTAGACTAGTACTTACCTCTCCTAACTTCTCTCTCTCACACTCACTGAAAGAGTTAAAACAAACCAATTTCATTCACCCCAAAATCTGGCTGGAAGAAAGAAGTGAAAACCTTCTGTAGCAACAGGAAAATCTGATATTTCAGAATCCCTAAAGACCTCCTCCCTAGATCATCTATTCCCTGCCATCTTATAGAGGAGAAAAGTTGTTTTTTTTTTTTTTTTTGACAGTTTAATTTCAAGAAGTGCTGGAGTGTCTGTTCTTCAAGTGACTGTATTTTTCAAAACTCAGTTGTATATTTGAAAAAGTAAGCAGTATTACCCAATTGGAGCCTTTCACTGACCTCCAGAGAGGAGCATAATATCTCTAGGGTCTTCCAATATTGATTTCCTTTTAATCTTCTCCTTTCTAAAGAAATTCAGTGACAGGGTGTGAATCTTGAGTAGTTTAGGGAAAAGTTCTTGGAGCTTAACAAAGCTGTCATTTTCAATACACTCGATGACTTTTTTTTTTTTTTTTTTTTTTTTTAGCTCTTGCATGTGACTAGAGGGGTGGCTCAACAATCCCACACACCCTGGCTGCATGGCCAATATCAATATTTTAAAACTAAAT